ATTCGGTCCCCCCAAACTCTCCATCATTGAGACGCAGCAGGGCTGGTGGGCTGGGTGAGGGCCCGGACCCTTTCTTCCTCACCCACATTGCTGTAAACGCCACATACCAGGCAATTTGCATATATTACTTCTGATCCATGGAAAATCCTCCTTTTGCAACTGAGCGCGTTTATGCCCTGGGAGTGCTGTGCACGGGCGGGGAAGCCGCGGCGCCCGGAGTCTAGTCTCGCGCCCTCTAGCGACGACGGTGGTGTACCACACGCGTGATTTCCTCGGCGGACGCGGCCTTCCCTGCACGGCTGCTCTGCGCTGTTGTGCGGGTTGTGTACTTCCCAGCTCCAGAATGGCGCTCCTTGCAGTTGTGCGGACGTAACCAGACACGGGGGCCCTGCGTCCCTGACGTGGAGTTGGATTGGAGAGAAGTATACCCACTGCGTGCAGACTTCAGTGACCCCTAGTCTGGTGGGGACAAGCCCTGGTCATGTTAATAGCCATTCTATACGGCTGGCGGTGAGGCCTGACCCAAGGGCGCAGAGAAGATGCTACGGGGCTTCCAAGGACTCAGAGACCAGGTCCAAATGCAGGACTTCCTGGGGCCGTGTCCCCGGTGCTGGACCTCTGAGAACCCAGCACCGTGTTGGCAGGATGAATCTTGGTCAGGAGCCGCCTCCAACTTGTGTATGGAACCAGGCAGGGTAGACATATAAAGAAATTGAGAGGCTCGTTGAAAAGAAAGCAGGAAGGTGGGTTGGCGTGGCTGGTGGCAGGTCTGGAATGCTAGCCAGAGTTCAGACTTCATTCTCTTCGCAGTAAGAGCCCCAGAGGGCTCTGCACAGAGCTGGGTTTCCGAGAGAGTGGAGACGGGACGGCGGTGACTGCAATGGTCCGGGCAGAAGACAGAGACGGGAGACCATAGAGGCCAGAATTGGGTGTGGGCAAAGGGGAGGCGGAGCCAGGCAGGAGAGGCGCCGCTGATTGGATTCGGGAGCAGCAGATGGGAGGAGCCAGATTTGAGTGCTGACGTCACTTGTTATGCCAGCCTGCAAATGGGCACATGGGCGTGAGATGGGGAGTAGTGACTTCGATTTTCCTTGTCAACCTCAAGCTGAACCACCAAGAGGGCCCAGAAAAAACATTTCAGGTCCTCCTCTGCCCTTCGCTCTCCCCCCGCCCGACAGCAATGGTGGAAAGATCTTAAAATCTTTACAAGGGATTAACACTGACAGCACAGGCCCCTCTTGGCAAAGGGTGGGTAAGTAATTAGCACCAGCTACCCCGCCTTATTTGCCTACATGGAGCCTACAACTCCCAGCTCGTTTTCTTCCCCTGCTCCAAGCCTCTGGGGATATCCAGTCAGCCTGGGTTTACATTCTGGCTGCGCCGCTTCCTAGCTGTGTAATCTTGAGGAGGTCAGTTAAACTCCCTGAGGCTCAGTTTGCCCATCTGCAAAATGGGGACTAATGATCACGCCTCTCTTACTCCCAGGGTCATGGTGAGCTTTATATAAATTAATGTACGAGTGGAGCTTGGAACAGTGCCCGGCATGTAGTAAGGACACGTGGCTGACTCAGTCCACAGAGTATGTGACTCTTGATCTCAGGGTCCTGAGTTCAAGCCCCATGCTGGGTGTAGAGCTTACATTGCAGAACAAAACACACACACACAAGAAAAATGCCGGCTGTCACTATAATTATTGAGAATGAAAGACTGGGTCACAACTGCTGGTGGCTGGGCTGATAGTTTTGTTCATTCATTCATTGAACAGATGTTTATTGAGAGCCTGTTATGTGCTGAGGATACAGCAGTGAACAAAACAGACAAATCCCCGGCCTCATGGAGTTTATCCGGTTAATCAGCGCCTTCTGTGAGAGCAGCTTTGAGCAGGCTTCGCAGCCTCCCTGGATCTCGGTTACTCCATCCCCATAATGCGGAGCTCTGGCGGGCATGGAGGTCTGGGGCAGGGGACTTCAGAAGAGTCCGCTGTTCCAGCGTGGCACCGGCCTTCTCCTCCAGAGAGGGAGCTCCCCGTGGCTAGAAGTAATTGAGCAAAGGCTGAGCATCCGTGAAGGTCCCTCTCTACCCTGAAAGGTTAAGGAAGTCTGGGGCTTTATTATTCCATGACGGGTATGATAAACTTAGGAGCATGAGCACACACATGGAACTTTTGAAAAAGTTCTTGAATTCAAGATAATAGTGTAGCCACAAGGCGGCACCATTACCCAGGCCCAATCTTGGAAAAAATTAAAAAAAAAAATTATAGTTAAGGGGCGCCTGGGTGGCGCAGTGGGTTAAGCATCTGACTCTTGGTTTCAGCTCAGGTGGTGGTCTCAGGGTCATGAGATCGAGCCCCTGTTGGGCTTCATACTCAGCGTGGAGTCTGCTTAAGACTCTCTCCCTCTCGGGCGCCTGGGTGGCTCAGTTGATTAAGCGACTGCCTTCGGCTCAGGGTCATGATCCTGGAGTCCCGGGATCCAGTCCCGCATCGGGCTCCCTGCTCGGCGGGGAGTCTGCTTCTCCCTCTGACCCTCCCCCCTCTCATGCTCTCTCTATCTCATTCTCTCTCTCAAATAAATAAATAAAATCTTAAAAAAAAAAAAAGACTCTCTCCCTCTCTCTCTGCCCCTCCCTCCTGAGCCCGCGTGTGTGCGTGTGCACGCGCTCTCTCTCTCTCTCTCTCAAATAAATAAATAAATAAATCTTTAAAAAAAATTAGAGTTAAGGGGTGCCTGGGTGGCTCAGTCGTTAAGCGTCTGCCTTCGGCTCAGGTCATGATCCCAGGGTCCTGGGATCGAGCCCCACATCGGGCTCCCTGCTCTGCGGGAAGCCTGCTTCTCCCTCTCCCACTCCCCCTGCTTGTGTTCCCTCTCTCGCTGTGTCTTTGTCAAATAAATAAATAAATAAAACCTTTAAAAAAATTATAGTTAAGTACAGATCACAATATAACAAGTGTCTCTGAACCTGTCACCCAGGATGAACAAATATTAACAAATTTGTCATGTTTTCGTTAGGCCTTTAAAAAAAATAATAAAGGCCCCGAATCCACAGAGCTGGTAAGCAACAGCAATGGGATCCCAAGTCTGGTCTTTATGTTTTCAGCCTAGTGCCTCATATCCTGTCCTCTGGGACATGGCAGAAATTGTCATAGGGGTGTCATATGGGAGGGAGGACAGGCCTCCTTTTCCTGCTACATAGACCCATCTCTGGGCACAACTGGGACTCTGGGCCCCAAATAGTGGCTTGGGGGTGGGTGGGGCGCTGCAGGGTCTTGAGGTTTTTCTGTCTTGGGTGTTGGGCAGTTCCGAGTTTCAGTTCCACTTGGTCTCTTGCTGCTGGTGACCTTGGATGAGGCCCTTGGCCTCTCTCAGCCTCAGTTTAACACCTACCTATCAGCACTATTGTAGTGGTAGGAATAAGAGAATAGGGCGCCTGGGTGGCTCAGTTGGTTAAGCGACTGCCTTCGGCTCAGGTCATGATCCTGGAGTCCCGGGATCGAGTCCCGCATCGGG